TGTTGCATGCCAAAGGATTTATTCAAGATGCAAATTTCTATGCCATTATCAGGAAATATTTCAACTTTAATAAAAAACTCCACGAATTGTACCTTGAAATCGATGAGAACGCAACTTTTAGCGAATTTTACACAATTTTCAAATTATAGAATCGCTTTTTGCCACATTATTTTTTTCATAATGAGTAGGTAACTTTTAAATGTCCTTTACTTAATAAATAGAATAAAAATAAATATTTCTACTTCGTCATTATGTCGGTGAGGATTTACTATTATCCATACCATTTTTGCAACTTTTGTGGTTAAACCTTTTATAATTGATTTCGGATTTTAAAGTCGAACACCTTTACGAATAATTAAAACAAATAAGAAGTATTACCACTATTGTCTCTCTAATAAAAAACACATCAATAATGAAAAAATATTAAATGTGTAGTTTATAATATGACCTAAAATACAGTTAATGCAAATCAGCATTCCTGCATTAGAACTCTAGACAAAAAATCAAGGTTTGACGCCGTCTGAAATGAAATTCTTTAATAAGGAAAGATCATAGCAATGTATTTAATTTTTTGCCTGGTAATTAGGTACTCTCCATTAATTTTAAGTACACGTTTCAAAATATCCGGAAATGCTCGTACATTTCTAGGACACTTTTTTTAGTTAAATGCGGATTTATTATTATTATCTAAGTGGAGTTGTTATGTTTTTGTGAGTGTTGTGATATGCCCGAAAGAAATGAACTGATTATTAAAACACATTCTTGAGCCAACACCACTTATATATAAAAAAAAATGAAGCATTGCTTCTAACGTTTATCTGTTATAATGACTTGTCATGAGGGACAAACTGTTTACAAAAATATCAAGCAGACTTTTTTTTATTTGTTGCCTACGCAAATAAGCTTAGGTGTGCATAATGTGAATAATTTGTCATGTAAATCTAAAATAATAAATACAATTATTATACATATTATAAATCATAAACTAAATGTCAAAATTAATAATTTGAAAGTCAGCTTTTATTGATTGTGTCAATGCAAGTTGCAACTTCGTATCACCATGTAATATTGCGTTTTGATGTACTTTTTTGACCTTTGAACCTTCATCTAGGGTCAGTCATAAAAGTGTCTAGCATTTACAAGTCGAAAATGTAAATGTTAAATATTTAATGTGGTAACTTCAATTTTTGTTTTTATTGCTAACGACCTGCTTTTCTTGCGAAGGACAGTTAGTCCAGGTTCTTGAATGACGTCATCCAGGATGGAAATGATGTAGAAATTCTTACATAAACAATTCTTGTTCTCATTTGTTGAATCCAAAGAAAATCATCACCTGACTGTCTAACATGAGTCGGCTGAAATCTTTTGCCAAATTAGACTTAAAACTCTCTATTACTTAACAAATAAATTAATTATCAGAGTGAATGTCCCCGGAACAATAACACGATGCAAAAAATTAGTTAGTCCACTAAGGAAACGTTCACTTACCTTTTTTCCGGCGACTTTCATCGCTCTCGTTGTTTCAGTTTTATTTGCAAAAATAGAATTTAATAAATACGACCCGGAAATCGGTTGAAAACAAAAGAAATTACAATTATAAGAAGCAATGCTGTTGTCACTTTATTAACCGTAATTTCAATATTCTAACATGTTACGTATTGCTTCCAAACATCTCCACTTATCTGGCAGATAGAAGGGCTCGAAAACGTGAGGGAACGGTGTGTCAAAACCCGTGACTCGCACAACAGGTGCCTCAAGATGCAAAAAACACTCCTCCTGCAAATTCCCAATTATTTCACTCGAATCGGTAAAATAAGTTGCGTACTTGGACTGTTGCCGCCAATTCCGCCCCAAATCCTCCAGTTAGCGGTGCTTCGTGGGCGATTAGGAGTCGCTTCGTTTTCTTGACAGACTGGAAAATCAGCAATAAATCAAACATCGAATAAAACAAAGAACCTTAAAATTATTTCTTCAGAGAAAAAAACAGAATGCGGTAATGTTATTGAAGTTTGTTTCCGGTTCCTTCAACCGGATTCGAGACGAATTATTTCCATCAACAATCCACGGCCACACTATTAGCCAAATGACGAGGCTAACAGATTCCCAATAATTATTGATACCATCATGCCATTAAGTTGAATTGGATTAGAGTAAAAAAATGTTCAACACAAGGTCACTTAATTACCTGACAGACAGTGCTTTTATCCCAGGGCAAAATCGAAACCAAGTCAATCACTTCACAGAAAACGTTTAATTGTTCTTTGGCCAGTTGAGCTACCTCGAGCAGTACGTGAACCTGAGTGCCCCATCCTATTAAGGTCACATTATTGCCTAGAAAAACATTTATTGATCCTTCATACAGAAATTTGAACATTCAAACATTGACATCCTTTCAAAAAATACATTGCACAACCTCAAGTAGGTTCCCCATTGATCCCTCTTTAGATAATTATTACGGCAATTTAGAATTCCGTTTTTTGGGGTAGCAAATGTGGAACAGTGTGCAACAAGTGGAAGGATCCATCCGCGTTACAATTGTAGGGTTGTTCTTATTTTGTTAAATAAGTAGGTCATCCTAGATGTTTTTCGTAAAAATATCGGTGTTTACTTGTATCGTATCTGTCACTTCCGGATTTATTTAAAACCCGCATCCGACAACAAAACCACTCGATCAAGCCGCAATAGCGACTTGAAATGAGATAAAATTGATTTTCACCCACGTAAACAAAAAAAAAATAAAGGCAACAATCTAAATAAATACTGCGCAATAAATCAAATGCATCAAACTGAGTTTCAAAATTATGACTCGCTTTTTACCGAAAAAACATGCGACGATGCGTCAATTTAGTAGAAGAGCAACGTAAAAGGTATCGAAATTTTTATAGGCTTTAGCAGTGCACTCATTTTGATTGAAACTGCGCGTTTACTTTCCTACTGCGCTGCTGAACGTTACTAGATCTCCAAGTATGTTTTAATATAAATATTAGGTTTACGTCGAAAATTTATCCTATCTGAAATACCTTCGAGCAAAACGTCTGCTCTTCCTATCGGGAGGACGAAATCGTCGACGGGTACTTCTTCCACAGCTGCCCTATATAACGTCTTAGGTTCAAAGATAATGCAAGGATCCGGGTCTCTAATACAGGCCGAGAGGAGGCCTTTCGCTTTTATTGGACCGCGTGGTATGACAACCTGAAATTTAAATCTATATGTTGGGTTGCCTATTGGTATTTTGCAACAAATAAAATGAAAAAAATTGTCGGAAAGCACTGAACTGTAAGAAATAAACAAACCCCCAAACAAAGGAAATAAAAACATTACATTGAAGTTTTAATTGTGCAAAGTCTACAAAAAATGGTTAGAGCACAAAGTCTAGTGAAATGTTAGGTACACTTTCCAGTAATTTATAACAATTAGTATAAATTTAGGGGTTTGCGTAAAAATATCTGCTATGTGGAACCAATTATTGACGATTTAGTATTGTAAATATGTACAAAACAATTATAGAAATATGTATTCTGATGTTTCAATATTTGTATATTGTGGATTAATAATAATTCGATAAATTTTGTGTGGGGAAACATCAACTAGTGTTTGGCCAGTAGATAAACTTGTGCATGTAAATGAATGTTTTCCATAAATTTAATGACGATATTTGCTTCATTGTCCTTGCCTGTCCTTTAACGAACCTTTAATCCGGGTGTATGAGCGAAATACGCCTCAGGACTTTGTGAGTGGTAAAGCCCTCCATGTCCTACGGCTCCGCAGGGCGCCCTGACAGTTAATTTTCCGCAATCATATTGCCCCCCGCTCCTATACCTCATTTTAGCAGCTTCATTCACCAGCTGCAATCTGCATTATCAAATGAAATTATACTGGAACTGTGTCAGTTTAAACCTGATCAAATGCCGGAAATATGTAATCGGCGAATTGAATTTCTGCTATTGCCGTAGAACCCATGTTGGCTGCACCGATCGCAAAACCAACAATACCCTGTTCGCATAGGGGGGTATTAAATACGCGACCAGGACCGTACTTTGATTGCAAACCCATTGTGCAACGGAACACACCACCAAAGGCGACGTCTTCCCCGAAAACTAGCGCTGTTTCGTCCTGTTTCAAGGCTAGGTCTAGAGTGTTGTTGATTGCTTGAAACATGTTCATTTTTTGGGTCTCACCTGAAAAGAGATTCGTTCCATTTAAAATTGTTATAAAATTGCTTTTGCCTCGGAATACCGAAATTTATTCAAAAAAATAATCTGATTTCAAACAATACGACTACGAGTCACGTCAAATATTTATCATTCGCTTAAAATACATAAAAAAGTCAATGACGTGTTTATCTTTGCATTCATCGTGTTTTGTTTGTAACAAGTGAAAACGGCGTCCATTTACCTTTAACAGGTGATTTTACGTCTGGCGTGTAAACAAAATGGTGTCTTTTATTGATTAGACTATGCAAAACTCTAAGTTCATTTTTGCTTTGTCGCAAACACACCGTACAAATTTTATTTAAAGCCATTTCGTCCAAATGAACTCACAACACTCACAAACACCACACACTATCTGGTTTATTTGAATTGAAAAAAAGTTCGGGTTTTCTGACCTTGATAACATGTATTATCATATTATATGGCATAATTTACATCATTTGTTGTTATCGGCAAAGAGATGTTTGAGATTTCGAAAGTTGAAGCAAGTGTGTTGAGAAATGCCGTCACATATATGAAGTGAGCGAGATAATTGACTTGCCAAGATAAGAATCCAGTTAAATGGCAAAGTATCGATTTAATGTATTGAGTGAAATGTTGGTCATCTACAATTTACCACTATAAATGATGGGGACGTACGGGGGCTTCATTGTCAACTGAAAGCACTTTGTATTTGTGCTAAGCACTTAGCTCCTCCAGGGAAAAGACAATTTACAATATAAAAGAACAAAATTCGGCGTTAATTAATTTTTGTCAAATTTAAAAACGCCCCAATAAAACAACATTTAATAATTGTGCATTTATTTATTTTGTAAAAAGTCGTGTAATAAAACTTAAATAAATGTAAAATGTTGATTCTTAAAGTTAAGGCTGTTCGCTTCCAGAATTCCCTGTTTTCCTGATTTCGAGTTTCAACTCTTCCAACTATAAAATAGAAAACTTGCAAACAAAATTTACCTCACTTCCCTAATTATTTACCTCTTGCAATAACGCTTTTTCTTTTACTGCCGCTCTTTGTAATAAAACTTTAACTTTGTTTAACAACTGTGTCTTCTGTTCCAACTGTAACTTTACTTGCGTGAGTTCATCTGATAAAAATGTTACACTATCACTAACAGGTTTGTTTGCTTTCAAAGCTTTAACCTCTTCTTCCAACTTGGCGACCTTTTGAATACTCTCACAATATTGCTCTTTGAGTCTTTGATGGTCTCTTTTCAACTTATCACCACAACCCTACAAAACAAAAATACAAATCGATAAAGCAATAAGAGGAAAACGAATTCAATTCATTACTGCACGATCAGGGTAAAAACGTTTTCCGGTCAACAACCTCTTATTTTCTGCTTGAAGCTTTTCCACCACTCTTTTCAAAACGAATATTGTTCGTTCTAATTCTGTTATTTTTTTAATATCGGTTTTTGGATTCAAAGCCACGTCCGAAGTGATACTTTCCATGTTTTCCTTCTTTAATACCTCGATGTAGCTGGAAATAATCGGGGTAATTGCGGAAATATTCAACTAGAATATTACTTTTCTAAATGCTGAATTTGTTCGCGCAAATGAGGTAACTCCTTTGTGGACTTTTCAAGATCTAGTTTCAATTCCAAATTTTCCGCTTCTAAGCAGAGATTGTTCTTTTGTAAGGTCGATATTGTATTCTGAAGGCGTTCTAATTCTGCGCGAACTTCCACACTGCCCTAAAAAGCACAAAATAATACAGCCGACACTAAACTAGACCATACATTTTAAAAAATCATTACGGATTATGAAATATAAAATAAAGTAGGCAGATAATATTTGGATAAAAAATTTACTAATAATAAGTTAGTAAAAATTAAATTAATATTAATTTATCAAATAATTGAGAAGTTGAGATACGTATGGGGAAAGTTTAAAACGTAAGAAGTGAAATTTCTCTGGCATTTCTTGTACCAACAGCCGCGTGAACTGATCTATTCAAGTTCAAGAAGCCGGTAGATCTGTGTGTGGTGAAGAAAGTGAAGTGCTTTCATACAAAATATGCCCTAATTATGATAGTTTTAGTGTTTCTGGACCATTTTTACGTCTTTTTTTATTTGTTTTTCTACATTTTTTTCAATGTCATAAGTTACATGATTTACGAAGGTGTTAATTTAGACGATGTAGCTCGCTATTCGTCGCTTGTAAAAATCTTCTTATAAGACTGAATAAATACCGCAAAAATACTTGTGAGAATCATCTTGTCTTATTAGTGAAAGTGGTTAACCCAAACACCTCGCGGCTCTCTCAGTGAAATTCGGTTCATCGACTCTAACAAACATTAAAGATGGAAAGTGCTGGAATTATTCTATTGACGATTTTCTTCTTCGTATACTTATATTTCAAGCACGCCTACACGTACTGGAAATCCCGAAACGTTCCCCAACTCACACCCACGTTTCCTTTTGGCGACATGGCCAGCGTCATTTTCAGACGACACAACATGGGAGATAAAATCAAAGAAATTTACGATCAAATGAAAGCGCGAGGACACAAATACGTCGGCTTGTACTTTTTTAGCAGAAAGGCATTTCTGCCAATTGATCCGGTCCTGATCAAGAAAATTCTCGCACCGGATTTTCAGCATTTCCACGATAGAGGAATCTATTATGACGAAGAGAATGATCCGATAAGTGCGCATTTGTTCTCGCTAGCTGGACCTAAGTGGAAAAATCTAAGGGCCAGGTTAACACCGGCTTATTCGCCAGGCAAATTGAAATATATGTTCAATACGGTCCTGGCGTGTGGGGAAGAGATGGCCGACATTCTTAAAGAAATCGCGAAACGCGAAGGAAAGGTCGAAATCAAAGAAATTTTGGCGAGGTACGTTGCAAAGTGTTTATTGATATTTAGGGTTTCGGGGGAAGTAGAGTATAAAGTCGTTACTGCTTTATCAGGGCTAAACCCAAGAGACGTGCTTTGCCCGAATTTACTTTTTTGGATAAAGTTTGTCTTGGAATGATTTGATTCCGAAAGAAAAGCCATTTTCCCCCTTGGGTATAAAGTGTGTATTAAAACGAGTGCGGAAATGCTTTATCCCTGGTTTTGAGGTCAGTCATATTTCACACTAACGCAATAAAACCTCAAAGTGACGAAAAATGTCTACCTTGAATAACTGCAATAATTCGTTAAAAAATCTTTCATTTTTCCTAGATATAGCACCGATGTGATCGGGTGTTGCGCTTTCGGGATCGATTGCAACAGCATGCGAAACCCCACGGCCGAATTCCGTCTGATGGGCCGTCGCGCCTTCACTCAAACTGTCGGCGACGTACTCAAAATGATAGTCATTCGAAGCTTCCCTCGTTTGGCTAAACTCCTCGGTTTCGGCGTTTTTTCCCCTACTGTCACTGGATTCTTCCAACGAGTCGTAAACGAGACGATTCGCTATCGCGAAGAAAACAACGTTACTAGAAACGATTTCATGCAGTTGTTAATTCAGCTCAAAAACAAAGGAAAATTAGAAGGCGAGGGCGAAGAGAAAGACGGCGCGTCGGCCGTCGGGACGTCTTTGACACTGGACGAGGCCGCGGCGCAAGCCTTCATTTTCTTCTTGGCTGGATTTGAGACGACGTCGACAACAATCAGCTTTGCGCTATTTGAGATGGCCCGAAATGAGAACATACGCACTAAAGCACGGACTGAAATTAACAAAGTGCTAGGAAAGCACGGAGGGAAGCTGACTTATGAGGCCACAATGGAAATGAAATATTTGGATACTGTTATTTCCGGTGTGTGAGGCTTTGGGGATTTAGTAATAATTGTTGCATGGTTTGGAACTTAAGGGAAACAAGAGAATTGGAAGTTCTAGTTGGTTCCACATAAGTGGTGTTAATTTTTTATTAGAAAATATTTTCTCTTTTGTTGCAGAAACGTTACGTAAATATCCTCCAGCACCGGTATTTCTGCGAAAATGTACAAAAACTTATCGCGTACCAGACACGGATGTCATAATAGAAGAGGGTTTATCGGTGTTGATCCCGGCTTATGGATTACACAGAGATCCTGAATATTTTCCAGATCCTGAGAAGTTCGATCCTGACAGATTTAATGAAGACAATAGAACCAAAATATGGGATTACACCTACATTCCCTTCGGTGACGGACCTCGCATTTGCATTGGTAATTATCAAGTTGATCACTAAGAATAACTTTCGATGACACACTTTACCGACGATTGTTTTTGACTCAGTTTACACGAATATTGGCTTTCATTTCTTAATTAGTAAAGGTAAATTATTTATAAAGGTATGAAAATCATTACTTTCTACTTATTTAATAAATAGTTCAAAATAATAAATCGGAATTAAATAAGGAAACACTAAATCAAATTATCGCTTGTGTAGGAGTCGCATAAATTTCCGCAAACATCCAAAGCATACTGTTACACCACTTGAGCAAATTAAAATCTGACCCATTTTCGCTAAGTTGTGACTATAAATCACCACATGAAATCGAATCGTAAAAATACTCATCGTATTATTGTTGCAGGTATGCGTTTCGCCATGATTCAAATAAAAATCGCATTAGCGTTGATCCTGAAATCCTTCGAATTTCCTCTGAGTGAAAAAACAATTCTTCCGATGAAAATGGAAAATTCCGGCATAATTTTGGCTCCGATCGGAGGAATATGGTTGGATCTGATTGCCTTAGAATAATACTGCAATTTAAAATAAAGCTTTACTTACTTTTGAAGATAATTCCAAAATCGCAATTTTCCTCTCCTGTCCCTCAAGTTTTTCCTGTAGCATTGCTGCGCCTAAACCGCCCGAATGGTATTGTTGCATCTCGAGTTTCGAAGTTAAAGCTTCATTTTCCGAAATCAGTTTCATGTTTTCAAGTTTTAACATTTCAATTTCGTGATTGATATGTTGAGCGGTCCCTGTTTTCATGTTTCTTATTTTATTCTCGAGATTATATTTTTCTCTTTCCAAACGCTCGATCAGAATTCTGTAGCCGGCGCAAGTCTCTTGCAATTTTTCAAAGTCTGCCTCTTTCGCCTTCAATTTGTTTTTAAGTTTCTCGGAGAGTTGTTGAAAGTGTTTTTGTTTATTCCATCGTTCAAAATTTTGCGCAATTTTGACTCGGTGACCCTCATTAATAGAGATTTGTGTTGTTAATTTATCCTTTAATTCGAGAATTTCGTTTTCTAATGAAGTGACTTTCCTTTGAAGTTGCTCTTTAATCGACTTTTCGCTTTTGTCGCTGCGTGCGGACAAAATTGGTCTACAAGCTATAATTTACGAAACGATATTTTAAATAATGAAACTCACTTTTTTAAAAGTTTTCCTTTTAATTCGCGAATCTCTTCCCTTGCAGTTCTTTCACGAACCAACAATTGATCAAACCTTTTCTTAATGGCTTCGTGTTCTTTCAATAATTGCTCTTTAGTTGATTCAAGTTCGCTGACTTTGCTAGACGACTCTGAATCAAATTTCTCAACATTTTTCCTCGCCTCGCTCTAAAACGTCAACACACATTATAAAAATTCTAATCTGTGTAGACTTCACTACTTTGGCGTGCCGTAATATTACATTCAGCTCATGTATTTTATCATCTTTTTCTTTAAGCTGCTTCTGAAAATCGAAATCATGTCCCGTTTCACTCCTGTACTTGCTGATCATTTGTTTTAGAGTCGTGACTTCCTCCCTCCACTTTTCCGCTTCGCTTTTGTACGCCATTATTTCATTACGATGCAAATCCTCCAAGCTACAAATTGGTCAGTACAGTGTAAATAATGGATGAGCGCTTCAGGATAATTATACTCTTTCCCGAGCTTTTGCATTGTTTCTAGTCTATCGTTAGCGAGAACGCGCCATCTGACGGCTTCCTGTCGGCTAGCCTGTAATTGGGACTCCAAACTGGAAACCTGGGTGCGTAAATCCGACAATTCGTCCTCTAAAGATTGCACCTGAAGGAAATATTGCTCCAAAGCTGCTTTACTGGGATGAGCACCGTTCACGGCTGATTTCAATCTAAACAAACTTCATTAAATAATGCAAACTTGAGTAAATTTAAACCACTAACTCGACAACTTTCTGTTTCTCCTCAGTCAGGCACTTTTGCAACACCTTCAGCTCGTCTCTCATTAGAGATGCTGCCATGCTGTGTTTGTCGCGATCCTCTTTCAACAACGATTGGTATCTCAAAATGTCCTCTTCCTTCTCCTTCAGACTGTCCTGAAAGGTTTTGAGCGAACACTGCCCACACAAAAATAATAAAAGCCGAGTTTTAAGTGAAATATAATCACCTTAAGAGACAAAATTTCTTCATTTTTATTTAAATCAATTGTTTCAGATACTGTTGGTACTGCCGCCACTTCTTTTTTACTCTGTAACTCCATAATATGTCTTTCGTAAAACGTAATTTGGCTTTGTTTATCCACGAGTTGTTTTTTCAGTGTACTTAAAGACAATTCATTTTCATTTATTTTGTTTTTAAGTTCTTCAATAGTCTGATCCTTAACTGCGATCTCTTTACTCAACTGCATGTAATTGGTTGTTTCCTTGTGATCAATCGTGATTTCGGTTTCTAAATCAAACGCGAAATTTTTATGTAACGTGAATAATTCTTCCTCTAGTTTAATTATTTGTTCATCTTGTATTTTTACCCGATCAAAAATATGTTGAAGTTGAGTTTCTTTCAAAGCACACTGACGCCTATATTTTATTTCCTGAAATTTTTTAGCAAACAGTATAAAAAAAAACTCTAGACATTTTATATAGTTTAATTAAAATTCTAATTGCGATTAACACATACGTTAAACTCTGACGATTTTTTATCCTGGTGGCTGCTCAAAATTTCTTTAACCGCCTCAAGGTTAGTGAAATTTGATTCTAAAGCTTGTTCGAGATTTTTAAGCTCTTTCTCGCATTGTTCTTTGAGAATCGAACTTTCATTAGCTGTTATTTGAGCGTTGTACAAATTCAAGAAAGCTTCGTGTTTATCACTAATAGCTTGTTTGATATTATTGATGAATTTTTCTTCAGATGGTAAGGGTACACATCCCAAATACTGTAGCTTTGATTTAATTAAAAGCTCACGAAGTATGCTGAAAATCAATAATAATGCGTTAAAAATCAACAAGGTGTCTCAATAAAGTTTTTTTTAATAAACTTAGCAAAAGGAAAAGAACTTATGTTTTATGATAAAGACAAAATTAGCTCATAAAAAAGTATATAAAATGCAGAATTTCATTTCTATTGTAATTAACTATAATTACATTATAGTTACATCATAAAAACATTAAAATTTGGTCATAATAAAGTGTTGATTTATTTTTTTCTTGGTTACTAGTTCTCAAGATAAACACGTATTTTTAAGCAAATTATAAATAACCTTACTTTGCTATAATCTGTTTTATTATTATTAAGATAAATAAAATTAGAATTTGTTGTTTGTTTGTGAAGCAATTCAATAGATGTCCCTACTTTTTCTACTTCCCTCATGCGCAAGTCTCGAAACGTTATAAATAAAACCTCATACAGACGATCGTTCTTCCTTGTCTGGGGGAGCTGAGTGTTCAATGATCAATTAGTGAGACCACTCCTGCTGGCACCCATAGATTTTAAAATTCATCGCACCCGCGCCCAGTGCTGCGAGTGCAATTTTTGGAAAGCCTCCTTACTTTATAGGAGGCGCTCATTGAAAAAATTAAACTAAAAAAAATACCTGACTTTCTTCTGCATCTCATTTTCTTTCTCAATGGCATTCAAAGATTTCCGCTGCATTTCTTTAGTTAATTCGTCGTATTTCGTCTTGCAATCGTGCAATTCTTCGTTTAATTGCTCGATTTGACGCTTGTATTCGGCTTCTTGCAACCGGGAATGCGACAGTTCGCCGCCTAAGCGAGCCATTTGCATCTTTTCATCGGAAATTGCCTGCAAATCGACGATTTGGTGCTTGAGGTCGAGTAATTCTTGTTCTCTTTCTGCATTCCAGTGACTGATTTCTCGGTTGGAATTTTTCAATAGTGACAACTTTTCCGTTAAATCGGCTGCAGACGAAGTCAAATTAGTGTTAATTTGCAAGAGTTCGTTATATTTCGTTTGGAGCGCCTTGTAAGTCGCCGTATCGATAAAATTGACGAGTTTATTCTCAGCGTCTTTCAACTGTTCCTGCAAGACTAGATTCTTCTGTAAAATTTCGTTGTTGTATTTGTCGGTTTGTTTACATCGATCTTCGGATTTTTGTAACTGTTCTTTCACCAGTTCGTATAAATTGTTGGTGTGATTAGCTCTTTGCCTTTCACTAATTTCGTTCGCTTCACTTTGGGCCAGCTTCTTGGCTAAACTTTCGATACCTTCATCACATTCATTGACAGTTTGACTTGCATGTAACTTCGCAGACAGATTCAGTACTTTACTCTCTAACTCGGCTTTCTCCACTTGCAAATTCTTGCGAATCTCTTCCAACATTTTAAGTTGAAAGTCTTTATCTTGACAAGCTTGATTGTATTTCGTCAATAAGTCGCGATATTTTAGTGTTAACGTTTCGAAGTTTGTTCGTAATTCGTTGTGATCATTGGGATCGACCGCAAATTTCAACTGATTGGTTAAAATCTCGACTGAGTTTGTTAAAGTTTTGTTTCTTTTTGAGAGATCGTTGATTTTTCTCAAACAAGCTGTTTCTGCATTTGCTAAATCGGTTTGTAAATTCGTGACCTGACTTGTTAGTCTTTTTATGTCACTTTCAAGATAAGACCGCTTCCGACCAAGTATCACATTATCTTCAGCAAGAAGTAGAGATTTAGACAAGATATTCTGATCCTCTGAAGACTCCGTAGCCAACAAACTTAATTGTTTTTCTTTAATTTCATTTGCTTCCTGCAAATCACATATTTTTTCCTCATATTCTGACATTTTATCGGTCACACTCTGTTTCTCATTTAAATATTCTTGATACAACAAACCGATTTGTTGCCGAATTTGATCAAAACTCTCTCTGTACGATAAAAGTTTTGCTTCAATTTCATCATCCCTCATCGAATCTTCTTCAAGTTTCTACAAATTAAATATAAAATTGGGAACATCACGACTACGCTAATTACCATAAACAGATCTTGCAAAGTTTTGTGTATATTAGTAATAGTAGTTAAATCTGCTGTGGCAATCGCATTTGAAAGACTGAAATCGACGAGATCTACACTTTTCTCAGAAAAACTTTTAACCGATTGTGATTCTAATCGTGCTAATCTCAACTGTTCTCTAAGTTCCGAGTTTATACCTTCCTGATTATGCAGTTCAGCCTGTAGTCTCATGGCCGGGTGATACCATCCCGAAATATGCTTAACATCCAAAGCTCTTAGCAGTTGTTCAAACGTTTCAGATTTTACCACCTTCAAACTTGTCTCTGTAAAAAGTTTTAAAAATTTATCGAGTAAACACAAACTTTTAATACCTTTTCTTGTATTCAGACTGTCTAAAATTTCATGCATTCCTTTTCTCAGTGCCTCGTTTTCCTCGACTAAAGCTTTGATTTGATTTTTAGTCGAAATGTCTTCGTCCTGTGACCTACTAGTGTCGGGTTGTTCTGACATATGTTTCTGGTTGTGAATTTGCATTCGAAGTTCTAATTTTTCTTCCTTCAATTTTTGGACTTGTTTTTTCAATGAAGATATTTCTCTTTTCTGCTGTTTTTGCTTAGCTGTAATTGCAGATGTGTTTACAAACTCATCGGACGTAATTCCTAGTCTGTCCCTATATAAAATAATTCAGTTATGGAATGCTATAAAAAAGTCATTATACCTCAAAGCTTGATTTTCTTTCTCATAACGATCACACGAGTCTTGCAATTTATTCGCAGATTTAACCAAATCCATGATTTGTTTCTCATTAACTCTGTTTTGACTCTTAAGGTGTTGAATTTGTGTCAAATATTCCGATAAATCCGAATGTCCTTTATCTTTGAGTTTTTCCAAAATGTCCTTGATCTAAAAATTTATTGTAATTTATAACAAAAAATTGTTTAAAATACCAACATCATCCTCCTTGTGTTCCACTAGTTTCTCAACATGTGTCAACTCATCTTGTAAGTCTTGGGCACGTCCATGAGCCGCTTTTAATTGCTTCTTCAATTCTTCCAAAGATTCCGACAATTCGTCAATTTTCCGACTGTCTTCAGTCTTTTCTTCCTTCAAATTTTTAATGATTGCGGTTGTTTCCTCCATTTCTTTCACTGCTTCGTGCAGTTGTGTCTTTACTTCCATCAACTGTTTTTCCCTTTCGTTTAAAATTTTATTCAACAGTGCGACCTGCGATTCGCTATCTTGTGGCAAACTCGACAACGAAGAGTGATGACTTGACTGCATTTGGCGGGATCGAAGATCAGTAATTTCTTTTTCTTTTTCTTCTAATATTTTCTAAAATAAAACTAATAACAAATAAAATTAAACAATACAAAACCGTACCTTCCATTCGTCAACTCGCATATTCACTTCTTCAGTGAATTCTTCCATTTCACGTTCAAAATTCTGTTTCTGTTCCAAAATTTCGTGAATTTCATCGCGCAGATTTTCGTTCTCAGCCAAAACGCGTGTTAGATTGTCTACAAAATAATTTTTTTATTCTAAAATATAAATTTTTCATTCTTACCGGAAAATTCGTTTTGTTGTATTTTCGAAGCTTTCAAATTTTCAGTCAACATTGTTAATTCCTTTGTGGCAGCAGCAAGTTCGTCTCTGACAGTTTCAAGCTTTTCACGTAAAACTACATTTTCTTTTTCTGCTATCTGTAATAATCGATAAAAACTGAAAAAATATATTCAAGTCTATACCTCGATGTCTCGTAAAAGATCTGAAATTTGTTTATTTTTGTTATGTAGAGTGTTGACAAGCTCCTTGTGTTGCTCCTTGATAGTCTCAGATACATCCGATTGATTGTCTTCTTGGTTAATCACTTGTAATTCATTGATCAAACGACTCCTTTCTTGTTCTAAATTTGCAACCTTTTTTTGAAGCTAAAAATCAAATAAGTCAGAAATTACTTGAGCATCTATTGAGAAAATACTTTGTCAAGTTCAGTTAAATTCTTTTCATTTAAACGGACTTGTTTCTTGTATTTACTCTTCAATTCCAAATATTTTTGCTCTAAACCTACAATAACAAAATTGTATCATGTCTTATTATTAATAAAAAATAAGAAATACTCTCAAACTCCAAAGAACTCGATTTACGCGACTTCGAACTTCTTGCGTCTGTATCCGATTCCAATTTCTTGGTATCTTCTTCACCTTGTTGCGTAGCCAATTCGTCCAATTTATGTAATAAAATTTCCACTTGTTCCCCTTTATATTTTAAAACTTCCTGACTCACTTTAATGAGTCTTACACATTTTTTTAAATCCAAATCTTCACCGTCACAGTTATACCACGTCACTGTATTATACAAATCATCTTTTTCTTCTTCAGTAAAATCTTCAGGAGAGCGTGAAAACAAATATTCCCAATCCATTGTCACGGATGACTAACAGTCATATCACGGTAGAGCTTTGACTTGTTTATACCAAGTTGCTAGGTGTTTTCCATACAAACAAATAAAATTTTTGGAGGGAAAATTGACTTTTGTGTCAACTTAAGAATAATGTACTGTGTTTTACAATATATTGACTACCTTAATTTCAAACGATTCAGAGATACTTCTTCGGCAACTGTAACAAGTTTGCAGTCTTCAGATGAAGAAATAGTTAATTCGACATTGTATTTTAACCCTAACTGTACTTTACAATTAATCTTGGATTATATTTGTATTGAAGCACATTTAAATGTGGATGGTAATTTTCCTTGAGAAATAATTATGTACATAGAGATTCTTTTAAGGTACTAATTATGATTTGTGCAATGGAGATGGTGATCTTTTGGGTATAAAAGATTACAAACCGAATGCTAGTGGACTCACTATTTTTCATCGGAGAGAAACTTATTTTCTTGTGATGATTAAGAGTTGGTAGAAGTTTATCAAACAATGAATTTATTGCCATTTTTAGGAAATGACAGTGGTACCACAATTGAAGAAATAACACCGCTTCTAAATCCTCAAAGTACGGCTTATCAAAATTTAATTAAAAATATGAATAAAAAGTTGAACAAGAAGAGGAACTCTTTTGCGAAGGTTTTATCGTTATTTATTTTGAAAGCAATAAACGTTTGTTTCAGAGACGCAGTAATAGCAGCAAACACAGTATAACTCCCTCCCAAAGCTCAAACACTAGCACTATAAATAATTCAAAAAAAAAGATTTAGTGCTAAAATTTAAAAAATAGATTTATTAACTAAATTGACTAGTACACAACACATTCACAATTTACTCTTAGTTTCAAACTCCTTCTCCCAAACTTTCAAGTCTGGCACTTTCAAATTCGTCGATTTTCCATGTCTTCCTACACCGGCAACAAATCTTTTAGCCCCCGCGATAGATTCAGTCCTCACCACTTTAACTCCATTCTCTTGTTCATATTTCAAAAGATCTAAATACGCTGAATTGAAAGCCGCATTATATGTTGAATTTCTATCAGTCAGCAAACACTCCTGAGGAAATTTGACTAGCGAATTCGCGAGTTGGATTGCTTGTCCCAGGGCTAGTACAAAAATTAAAACATTTACCACTAAGAGCTCGCAATTACCTGTCCCACATGCCACAATCCTGTTTGCTACACCCCACTCAAAGGCTTCTTTGGCATTAAGAGAGCGCCCTGTGAGGATTAAATCTAACGCTCTTGATAGCCCAACCATTGCTTGAAGTCTCACTGTGCCCCCGTCGATTAAAGGAACACCAAACCGTCTACAGTACACCCCCAAAACTGCAGTTTCCTCCATGACCCGCAAATCGCACATTAGAGCCAACTCCAAGCCGCCCGCAACAGCGTATCCGCTTATGGCAGCTACCATTGGTTTTTTTATGAAACGTAAAGTTGGGCCCTGGAATAAAAAATAAGAAAAATGGGCATATAGCAGCGTGAGTTTTACCATCTGGCCTTGAGGGTTAAATGTGGTGTCAGAGTTGTCCATTTGAGATAGGGAGTTTAGGTCGTAACCGGCACAGAAGTTGCCCCCTGTCCCGTATAAAACAGCAGCTTTGACTGTGTTATCATTTTCAAAATCTTCAATAGAGTTACGGAGTAAAGTGGCTGTGCTGGGATCAACACAGTTTCGTTTCTCTGGCCGGTTTATACCAATGGTAACGATTTCTCCAATTTTTTCGGTTAAAACCGCTAAGTTTAGAAGTTAGGTTATGATCATTGATTTCAAGTTCACTTACTTTGGGGGTTATTGCTGTATCGTCGCATTATAATTGAAGAAATTTTTGTTGCCATCAGAGTGTATTTTCATTGATTTAAGTGTACTTTAACCAAAATATATCAGCAACCTTGAAAGCCAGAAACCAGATCACATAACCTCAATTTATCTTCACACAATAGAATAATATTACGAAATCTTTATTTAGAATAACGAATTACAAAAAGTTTATTATTTATCTTCCTTAAGGACATGTTTCTTTCTTTCTGGCTCATAAGGCACCTCCCCAGGTTTAGAATGAGCCCTTCTGTTAGCTTCTTTCCTTTTACCCTTCTCTTTAATTGTCCTAAGTTCATTTTGTGCGTTATAAATGTGTTTAGGGACATGTCTATGTCGTGCTATTCTTCGTACTTTTGGATGTGTTGCATACTTTTCTTTGAGAGCTTCACTGTAATTGAGAGCAGCTCTTTCTCTAGGTTTGAGCTGCAAAACAAACTGAATTAGAGACCAACATTATTAATTACTAATTGACGTACTGGTCCTAACTTCTCAGATGCTCTTGCTTTCCATATCCTAATATTCATTTCATCTGATCCACTTAAGATATATTTGTTATCAAGGGTCCATTGTACACAAGTAAGACGTTGTATGCGTTTTGTGTGGTAGATTTCCCTGGAATGGCCTTTGTTTGTTTCAAATATCCTGACTGTTTTATCATAGCTTCCACTAACAAATTCTCTACCAGTGGGGGCATAATCTATACTGGTTACAGCCCCAACATGATCCATATGGACATTCACAGGCCGATTTAAATTTCTGGTATCGAAAGTATACAAGCTGAAAAAAAAAAATAAGTAAAATTGAATAATACATAATTAGAAGAAAATACTTGTAGTCCTCATTAGCTCCTGTGAAAATAAAAGCTTCCATTGGATTCCAGCAAATTTTATTAGTTCTCAACTTCATAACAACTTTTCTCAAAGGCTCACTATCCCTTGTATCATATAAAATGATACTCCTATCACTTGCACACGACGCTATTATGTTAGTTTCTATTGGATTAAAAGCGATATCATGTAAACTATCAATCCCCCACTCAAAGGTTTTAACAGGTTCATTTCTGGTTTCCTCCCAAATCTGACACACCTCCCCACAAGTTGCAAAAACGTGACTACTTATATGATGAGTAATTCCCGTTAAAATTGTCTTGCTAATGACAGTATTAACGGGTTCTTCATCTTCTCCAACATCCGGAGCTTTAGATTTCCAAGTTTTGATAGTTTTATCATCACCAAGAGTTATAAAATGATCTCCTGATGGATTATAAGAGATACCTCTCACAATGCCCTCATGAGCTACAAATTCGCGGATGCACAACTTTTGGGGTAAATCCCAGACTCGTATTTCCCCATCATAAGAACCGCTGATCAAAACAGAAAGTCTCTTAGGATGTTTGGAGATGCAGGAAACACCATCTCTGTGTCCGTCTAAATTGCCGACAAAAGGTTTAGCAAAAACTTTTTCTAGTTTGACGGCATTTACAGCTCGGGTGTATTCGCGGGCTGCTTCAAAGGGGTGCAAAGCAGGATCGTAATTACGAGGAACTGAAAAAAATGTTTTTTTTTTTAACTTTTTCACAACATTTATAAACGTACCTTTATGAATATCATGTTTTGTCTCTCTGAGATAATCGTCTGGGTTTCTACTAATCACTTTTACCTTCATTTCTTGTAAAGAATAGAATAAGAAGTTTTTAGTCGATTCTTGTTGTATGTATGTATAACCACAGAACTACATAACCTAAAAATTCGTAGACACACACGCGCCTGTCAAATTAGTGACTTTTGGTTTTGTCTATTGTACATGTACTCTAGCATCTTGTGGAGCGGGAGATTTGATTCAAAAAAGCACTATTAGGTAGACATGTGGTAAGAGGAATATAAGTGCTTATTTATAAATAAATTCAAAATTTATTACAAGAAATAAATAAATAATATACAATTTTAACCTGTACATCTGTATACTTGTGCAAGCTTACGGATTAGACATGCTATTTACGTAATGAACATTAGATGAAACAAAGCAGGTATGTATGTTACACACAGAGATAACAAAGGAATTAGAATAATTAACCATTTTCGTGACTAGTATACAAAATTAATGAGTTGTGTAATTTCGACAACTGGGAATGGGTTATAGGTGCGTCCGTTATTTTGAACACTTTTCGCTTTAACATTAAGTTAACAAGTTACAAAGTGTAACAACAAGTACAAACAATTGACAAAACAATGGTTGTTCTTAAAATATAGCTCGACGATGGCTCTCAATAATTTCAACTTTTTTTGTATATATTTACAAAAAATTCACTGCGCATATACGACTAGGTGACTTAAATTAATTTTACATTTACATATAACAGATTTCATTGGTCCAACAAATCACTGACAAAATTTATAAGCAAAATTCATTACCAGCAATTTTTGCTTGTAAAGAGAGGATACAACTGTAAGTAAGTCATAAATTTCGCCTCAAGTAAAAAAGAAACAAAACATGTCAATTTGTTAATAAGTACACTAGTAATAAATCGTGGAAACACTTTATTAATTATTATTCAAGGTATCACAAGGTACACAAAATTGCGTCTTTTTTATTCACATTTTTTCTCGACTAGTTCACTGTCACGACGACACTTTTGGTTTTAAACGTTTAAATCAGCCATCATTTTTCGGAAATCTGCTAATGTGTTATAGTCCGGATCCAAGTCAATGTCGGCGAAATCTCTCTTCGAATCCGATTTTACGAAACTGGGATTGTAGCGACTCAGAGATAGAGGACACGGCAGAAGTTCAGGCATCACAGAATGGTGCGTTATCAACGACGTCAGCGTCGTAAACTCTTTCGTAAAGCCCTGCAACAAGAAAGCCAACGTTAACAAAAACACAATTAGTTAAAAGATTGGCCACTCCCGGAACTTTACAAGCACAGTTAGCGATTTATTTTATGGCGTACTACATATTTTACCGACCCTTCAGCGCTATTTGTATTTTACTGCAACCTTATGGATTTGAAAGGTTTCAAAGTGATAAATAAGCATTTCTTCGCCAGACCTTCAAGTAAATTTTTGTGTAAAGTTACAATCTGTGTAAATTCTCCAAGCTTTCGCTAAAAGCTCGATGATAGTACAAGAATTCAACCAAGTTTGTTTTATCTTTCGTTATCAACACAAACGGTGGTAATTTAAAAGTTTCGTCAAGCCCCTTTGTTGACGTTAAGTTTAAATAAGTGTGGCCCTCGGGTGCCAAGTCATCATTACACTTTGATACCCCAGTCTTTTGATAGCATTTGCCAAACAACAATTGAAGCCCACCTTAATTTTGTAGCCTTTATTCGTTCTGACGATGAGGTAATGAGCGATGCCCGTTGGCTGAAAGCTCCTCGGCACTCTGAGTGAAAGCGCAAAACATCCTGGTTTGCTGGTGCTTTCCCTCACCATGAAAGCTCCCACCGGTTCTTGCGCTAGTATTTCCAAGGCAATTTCACGGGGTATGCCGGCTTGAAACCACGGAGCCGTCCTCAGTTCGCCCTCCTCTTTGTTATTTAAAGAATCGGTTCTTTCCGGAAGTGGGGGTGGCGTCGGTGTTAGGCCTAATAAGGTGGTTTCAGTCCCGGTTTGTGGACACGAACTGGAACTGCTCGAACTAATCTGAGATATCCTTTTTGATTTGAATTCTTGTTCCGTCGAAGCGGGCGAGTTTTGCAGAAGTCTACTGTTGTCAATTTCTATATGTTTGGTGAGATTCGAGTTAATGCTTTCAACGATATCGTTTTTTAAGTTATCTACAACGTTCGTTTTATTGATGCGATTATCCGCATCGGTGGTAGATTCGTTGACGTAGCCACCCGAAAGCGGCCGATTCGTGGGACTCCCCGGAGAGCTGTTATTTTCGCTCACTAAAGGACAGCTGTCTTCGTCGTTGTCGTGGTGGTTGCCAGTCAGCCCCATTGCGATTCGCTTGATCAAGGGCGGTTTTTCAGTCATTCTTTTATATGAATTCATTTCAGTCGGAGAATTACTCTCGTCGCTGCTAGGGGTGCTCTGCTGGGACTGAGGCTTCTCAGATGGACCTAAAACGTTGTATTTATGGGACGGTTTCAGACCGGGAATTGTGGTCGGCGGCACTAGACGCAAAGTCGAGGCTTCGGAATTCGTCAGTTGAACATCCATTTCGCTCGACTGATTATTGTTTGCTTGATGCGACGATTTATCTTTCTTCAACGTGACCGATAATTCTTTCGTCTGAAACAAATGCAAACGCATTAAAAGTTGGGCCCGTATTTAATGGATAGATGGGGGAGTACAAATCGTAGCATTCGTCCGCGTATTTTTTTTTTAAATATAAACTCGTGTCTAATCGTGAGAAACCCTTACCCAAAGCACTTTATTCGTTTGTGTTTGATCCAATTGAGATGCAATTACGTCTTGAAAGGTGGGTTGCTTCTGCAGCTGCGCCGCATAAGCCATCCGAAATGCATTTCCAACAATCGAGTTGAGTTCTTCAGCCTGAAACAAAAATTGCCAACAATAAATAGGGCGATGACAGAAGTTTTTTACTGGGTCCCAAGTGTGACCATCATCAGTGTTATTTTTCATCAAAGTTTCCCTTTCAAACAATCTCCATTAATCACTAGTAATCGAAGATGTTCTTGACTTGACGTTACGTGCGGTCAAGTGATAAATTGGCGAAATGATCGCTGCCGCCGTCCACTGCTATGCAAACAAAAGAACCGAAATCGACGCTCATATCGACTTTCATGTCGGTTTTAGGATGACAGAGCTTTGAACATAACTGGACTTCTTTACGAACACTTTTCTGATATACAAGAGAATAAAAATTGAAATTACCGAACATTTTATTAAGTAACTGTAAAATTTCGCTGCATTTAATGATAGACACAGTAAAAGCAAATTGAAACGACGGGTTTATAGTTACTGGAAGTACGTGGATTCATCTGTCTATTCCATGTTGTTATTTCATTTTTCTCAAAGCGTTAGAAACTGAATAAAAATAAAGCCCCACTAGGGATTCCATAGAGAAACTTTTACTGCACTTATAGAATTTCAGTTTTATTAGAAATGCTCTAATAACACGTTCTGTTAACTTTATTTCGCTGAAAACAAATTGATTCGACTTTATTAACTCCTCTTTAATTTTAATTTGAAACATCATTTTATTGCGAAAATTAATTTCTCAATTAATATATTATTATTATATTATTAAAAAGTAGACGTAAAAAGATCTTTAATAGAAAAAAAGATATAATTAAGCCATCAGCAAGCCGACTACCGCAAGCTACTTGTTCCTATTTTTTTAGTATAATTGGAATAATTATCGCATTATAATTTTTAATAGAAAAATGTCTGTAAAATCAGTGTTGTAGTCTACTTAATATTTTTAGTTGATGGAGCGATGAAGATGAATGTTGCTTTTAAGGTCAGTGTGGGAAAAGCAAAATGCAACTGGATATGCAGTGCTCATCCATTACTCAAGAGAGGATCATTTGGATTAGCTGTTATGCGGTAAGCGAGTCCTAATCAATCAAAACGTGTTTAAGTCAGAATGCATCCGGTGTATGTTCTTGATAAATAATTAATGACTGTGTTAAAGAAGTGGAAAAGAAACGTAGTTAAAAGTGCAAAAACAGTGGATTTCTTTAATCTGAATTGACGGTTGAACGGTAATCAAATGACTTTAGTTAGTTCTCTCCCGCTTTGCCTTATAATTAAAGTAGCCACAGCTCGTTAAGCTAATTAATGACTTTGCTTATTCTTATACGAAGTCAAGTTTTCGACGAGGGGAGTGTGTATTTTATCATAATTCTTGCCTTGATTTTATTTTCGGTCTCTTGAGACTACTTCAATTTATTTAGCAAATGAAGTGGTTAATGAAACCTTCAAAAACACTCGATTATTTACCCTCACATTAACTTCCAGGTTTATTTTATTAGTAAGTTGATTAGGGTCCCTCAACTTCATAATTTGAAGTTCTCATTCATCATACATTAACCAAATTACTTTCGTACATGTATCACATCAATCTCATTTTGTGGCACTTGCGAATGTCAAAGTTAAATATTTGAGCTTTCTGTTTGTTGTAAATTGTTCCGGGCCGCAGCATCAATCACCTGTTCATGTAAGTCATGATTAAATTGTTGTATCAAAACTCTAGATGAAATATTCAGATGCGCGATAATTATACCCTCCTATCGAAGCTGTCTTTAATGAACAGAATGCTTGGCGTGGGTTTACGAGGCAAAGGCCACCACAGGTGGATAATGGATCGTGCGTGTTGCTATCACTCAGAAATCACCGAACACGAAATAGCATTCAGACGGAAAACTGTTCTATTTGCTTGCTTTCTACTATACGTGGAGGTAACTGACGTCTCAAGGGACGTCGCAGACACTTTCCGCCACTCAAAGAAATTCAATATTATCGAGGTTAAATGCCATAAATTGGACACTTCAGCTGCGACGAATAATTCAGCAGGAAATTTTGTCCCCAGATTTTACCATGAATAAATTACATAAAGGACAGCAGGACAAAAATTCAAGAACAAAATTGCTATGATTATCTGGAAAATGTTTGGGTCGATGCACACGCAAATCATAGCTAGAGAGAACGGTCAACTAGTGCCATTTCTACAAAAAAACGCTTAAAAAGAATGATTATTTAATTTCCAGATATTATAAATGCCGTTACACAATGTGGTCACAAAAGCGTCAGAAATATATTGCGACATGCCATTGAAATTTACGAGAACGCGCTG